AGTTGAATTTGAATTTCCACTTATCTGAACCAAAGACATGACAGTTATGTAAGTGTTTGAGTCCATACCATGATTTTAAGCTTTTAGGGTACAGGATCTTCTTTGGGATTTCTCATGTCTATCAGTGTTTGTTTGACTAATCCACTGAATCTTTCGTTGCCTCAGATGTTTCATGTAAACCTTACACGAAACACTGCACCTGTTTATTGACCTCTCGACCCTGCCTTATCTCTCTAACTGTGTTTACCTGATTTGGACTGACATCTATTGCCTGATGTGACCTCATCTGTTTGCCTGAATATCTTAAATCATCCGAGCTTATTTCAGCTGTTCTCACAAAAATGAAAGCAGATTGGCTCATTTCTCAAAATTTTTTTGCTACTATTACTCCAACTATTCAAGTCTCCATGTAATCACAGCAAAATTACCATCTTTGAGTAGAAACCCGTGTTTTTCTGCAATCACCGTGGATGTCAGTGTGTAATTAGAGCCGTCAGGTGTCAGACGAGGCTGAATCAGCGAGAAACTACATATCAGGGTTACAATCGGTGAAGTAGATGACGCACATTTGTGAAAACAATTGAAGCCGATCCGACAAGGACATGAGGGACATTTACTCCAATTGGATCCCATAAAAGAACAAACACCAACCTGTGCTCCTCGGTTATTGATTTCTTAATTAGTCCGTGTTATGGCTCTTTGGTGACGTTGTGGGACGAAGGATTGGTGCACGCTTTAGCCTCTGGGAGAAAGACATCTGGTGAGGCGTGTGTGTGTGTGTTTGGCAGGTTATTAAATTTCCTCCTGCAGGTTTTTATAAAATTACCTCATCTCATTTATGAAACATTATAACCAAAAATCAGTGAAGAATCGGTTCCCAATTTTGCAGAGTAATTTAAACAGATTTAATAGGGAAGCAGTGGCAGAAAGGGGGCAGGAAATATCGTCTCAGTGGCTCATTTTCAATAAACTCAGATGCAAAGGGTGTGCAGGGATGAGCAGTGAAGCTGACAGAAACACTCTACCATCCAGTCATTTCATCTTCATAAATTTATCTGCCTGCCTACAAAAAAAAAAACATGCACTGTTCGGGGAAGAGAAGAGACTTAAGAGGCAATTATTCACTTAACAGAACATCGTTATGAACAAAAAGCACACACGCCTGTCCACAGGCATGATTCAGACTCCTTCCCCGACCGTTTTTGGCATCATTTATTATGTTTTTATGGGATGAAATCATAAATGTTTCATGGCTGTAACTAATCCCTGATTCTCATGAATAAGTTAGCGGTACAGTTATGCTCGCTGGCACTCAAAGGGATGTTTTTATTTATTTATTTATGTTTCATTTTTGGAGGACTCTGGTCCACAGCTTACACTAAACTAGAACAGATGTGGCCTCGGGATATCATCTGACAAGTTTGTCTGAAAAATTCTCGCTCGCTTTTAGACTTCATGGAGAGACTGTGTTGTATCACACTCGACACAGAGCTTTTCTAACACAAAATAACATGAATGTGCATTTTGCGGTTGTTTTGCTGTCTCCCTGTGTGATTTTAACGGTATGCTGAGCTGCAGAAAGAGATGAGATCTCATTTGCAAACTGCCAGGTGTGCAACTCCTCTCTCAGGATATGCTTGGTGTGTCAGATGGAAAAAGGTGCTTGTTAGCTTTGATGGTCGGATCATTGTAAGCCCAACTCGAGTTTCTTCCTGGGCTGTTAAATAACGGGACAATGAAGGGAAAGATCTGAGAAGGTGAGACAATCTTTTAGGGTGAATTTGCTCACACATTCAGAGTCGTGTATCTGCTGACTGTCAGATATTAAGCAGCTGAAATAATGGAGTTACGTGAAATTACATCAGCATCCAGGGTCAATATTTAAAGATTTGCTAGCTAAGCGCATCGTGTTGGGTTCTTTAGGGTAAGCATTTAAAGCCATGATTGCCTTTGTTGTGTTTCCACCTTTAGTCAGCTTGCTTCCAATTGGCTGTTGAGTTGTTCTACACAATGATAGACATGGTGCTTGATTGGCCATCCTTAAGGATCCCTCAACACACAACGAATATTGAAACCCCAAATTGGTGAGGCTCTGACCGTCTTCTGTGTGGATCAGAGGGCAGAAGAATCACTCTAAACATAAATCACACCACAGGATAATCTGACGGGATTATCCTTTGAACTATCTGATGATCAGGTTTTTGCTAGTTTTGTCAAAAGGAGGGAATCAAACCCAAAGTTAGCATTTCCAATATGGAGGCCACAATATTTGGTTTCAAAATTCCTATCTACAAACAAATTGGAAAGTCGGATGATCCTCACTAACCCCAATTTGACGACAATATCATATTCCAAGATGGCAGCACAGTGCATCGTAATGTATTATTTATTAGAAGTTCTGTTTTCTTTTGGTGATATTAAATAAGTGGTGTATGTTGTACTAACCAACATCTGTGAACACGGTGCTATGGTGTTTGTAAGAGTAAAATACTGTGTTATGTGTTCTTTACAACTGGTATATCTAACAACAACAACTAACAACTGCTGACGACGGCCAACAACAGCTGACAATTGTGAACAACAGCTAACAACGGCTAACATTAGGCGCCCATCTTGGTTTTCCGACTTGTTAACTGGAACGTCATTCCCAGCTCTGACTTCAGAGGTAACTGGAACGCAACATTTTAACTTTACGATAAGTCTACGGTTTTGATGCCTCACAGTAAAGACAGTTCAAAGCCGTCTCCAACAACAGATATAAACTTAAAACTTCTACATTATTTGTTTTTTTCAAAGGCGAGGAAAATATTTACTGGTGAAAAGTAGCTACCATACTTTAAAACACATTTGATTCAGTGTAGAAGCAAAACAAAGTGAAAATTCGGTTAAATATGCTACATAAACTATGACTATTACGACTAGTTTATTCAGTTAAAAAATGCTAACTTGTCTTGCATTCATACTAGCCTTGAATGTAGTCTACAGATTTGCTCCATGTTATTTTTACAATCTGCACCCCCAATAAGAAGTGTAATAAAAGTATAAAGCGTCTTATTCAGGATTTAATATTGATTCCTTAGTCAAATACTAACTACTGTTTTCCTCTAAATGTTGGACCATTTCTGAGCAGGGAAACCCTTTCTGTGTCAGAACATCCTGATCCTGATGTTTGTTATCTAATTCAGGCTGAGCTGACATGTTTTTTTGTGCTTTGTTAATGTGGGAAACAGTGGGACGATGTTTCTGTACAGTCAGCAGCATAAACTGTTAACACACTCCCACACCACCACTTCTTCTTCTCTCAAGGTCTCATTACTGTTCATCTCTCTTCTCCTCCGAGATTCTCATTGATCCTGTGTCCTTCCTTTCCTCTCTCCTATCCTCGCTCTGAAGCTGCTCCACACGTCTGCTTTTTCCTTCTTCTTTTAAATTTACAATTCAAACTGGAACAAAACACACCACCACCTGCTGCCAGCGTCCTCTGTATCCCACATTTTGTTCCTCGTCGTGATGGAGACAAGCAGGGCCTGTCACTCATCTCCCCGTGTGTGCTTTACACAAGCTGCGTGGGGACCGGAGAGCCTTTGAACAGCTGTGTGCGGGCAGAAGCAGCTTTTTGGGCCTTCAGAGACCGCCCGCTGTCAAATGGCACAGCATGGTTTTATAAGAGATACTTGACAGGACGGAGTCTGCCATGTTTGATTAGTTTCTTCTTCTTCTTTGAGAGCTTCCTCGGAGGCTGACGACGGGACGAAACACAACAATCTTAGGATGTTGGCTTGAGCCCTGCGATGAAGCCCAGCGTGCACCTCTCTACCGCCATCTGCTCCCTCTTATCCTGCTCGCCTGACAAAAATTATGTTTACATAAAAGCACCGCGGCCCCCTTTACCCACCACTTCATGTTAACACACCACAGGCAGCATTTTAGACCCAATTCAATCCCCCATGAATGTCAGTGAGCAAACAGTCTGACTTTATCACACCGGGCGCTGACAGTTTATCTATGCAGAACAGGAGCTGCAGATTAACATGCAGGGGAAATATAATAAAGCAATAAAAACACAAATGGTGTCTCCTCTGCAGCTCTCCTCTGCAAGGGCACAGGAATCCTCTATTATCTGATTTCAAATTAAACCCTGTCCTACTTTACGGGGTTATTAGTTTCAGGAAAATAGAAATATTGATCTGAAAGGCTCCAGCTGAAAGTATCCCCTTCAAAATTATCCATCACGGTCATTTAGAGCGTTTTGAAATGATCCTGTTTTCATGGACAGAGCTGCAGCTGCACCTCTCAGTCTTCAAAAGCAGAATTTTTAATGAGGACGCCTGTTTTTATCAAGCAGCTTTAGGTTTTGATGTTGTTATGCAAGACAGTTAAACGGAATTTATGAGCAGTTCGACATCAGTAATCCCTCTCAGCTTTAATGTATTCACTGCACTGCAATGATTTGTTATGAGGACATAATACGGGACATAAATAATGTGTTAATTGTTGTTCAAAGACGAGCGCTGCTTATGATTGGAAACAGCCTGACAGTTAAACACCACGACTGAGGCCCTGTTTATACAGGAGGGTCCTGAAGTCTTCGCTATGTGAATGACTGGAGTGTGTATGCCAGGCCTGTAGGTGGCAGTATAGCAGAAAGGGAGGTATTTTCGAAGATTACACTTTTGGCCAATCATGGTAAGATTTCAATGCAACAATAGTTCACTGTTATTTACATCGTGACAACTAAGAGAAATGAAATTGATGAAAGCGCCAAAAACTGCAGTTCCCCGTGTGTCCACTTGAGGCTGTCTGCAGAAATATTAGAAACCACAAACACACTAAACCAAAAAGAAAACATATTAAAGCAAAGGTTCCCACTGTGCAGGGAGTGGATTTGTTTCTGTCCCATGTTTGTTTTGGAGATATTAATGCTGCGTTCTAATTGTACTTGGAAGTCGGAATTTCCGAACTCTGAGTCAGAAATTCATCTGGAAGTTCGACTCAGAGAGTTGGACAGTCCTTACCAACCCCGACTTGACGACAACGTCATATTCCAAGATGGCAGCGCAGTGTATCAACAGTAAAGAGTGTTGAGCGGTGACCGCTCCCGATAGGCTTCAAAACTCGACTTCACAGTCGCCAACTGAATGTGTTTCTATGTTAACGTTATCTTAATGGTACAGATGGAAGTAATGGGGATTCTGTATTGAAAAGCTCCCTTGTTCACCCTTGCTTTCCCCTCTGGCAAAAGGACGGTGGCCTTTGAGGACAAAAGATCCTGTAATGCATGTGAGTATGATCCTCCATTTGTCCGAACAGAAATTCTACCAACACAAATTATTTTGCGCATGTACCCATTACAAGAGATCTGTCATTGCAAGATTAAAGCTCCTGTGATTAGTTTTCAGTTTGGGTCAATTTTTGGCACCCCCTGTGGACACAGCAGACTTTGCATATGTTGTCCTCTACATGCTGTGAGTTGTGAGTTTTTATAAAACCACATCCTGCTACTTTTTGACATCTAAATGTACCACTGAATGTGAATATTTCATGTAAAAACAGGGCTGTTTCTTCAGTCGACACAATCTCAGTCTTGTCCATGATTGTCTTGTTTACTTTTGGATTTTAAATTCAAATTTTAGTCTATTTCATAAACGTCTAAAAACTTCTCATAGGAGCTTTAATCTTGCTGTATTATAATATAAGAGTCTGCTTGAAACCACACACTGTACCTTTAAATATGCTTCAATTTAAAATGCTCTTTGTGCAGATGTCTGTGCGAGACCGGTTGAATAATTTAATTGTCTCTGTCATCTTTAAGTTGGCAGACATTTCCAGTAAAAACGGTCATCCAGTGAGTCAACTTCCTGGTCGCCCGTTTTGGATCACTTGCTCCTGTCAGAGCCTGACAGCCGTCCTGCAGAGGCAGGTGCTTTATGTTCATTCCCCGAACATTTCAGCCCCGCTGATTAATTGCCTCCCCTCGGAGCAAAAAAGGCTGAGAAGAAAGTAAAAGGCCTGCAGAATTTTTATCAAGCAACATTAACATCTAAAAAGACCGAGCAGAGGTTAAAAGTTGACACTGTTTACCTTCTTTATATAATTTAGCAGCACAGGGGTTCGGCTGAGCTGGCGCAGATGTGCTGTTTGCCTTGTTTTGAAGCACAAACGTTGAAAACAGAGCTGTTGAATTCATTTGAATAATCTCTGAAAACATCTCCTCTGAGGTTCAACAAGGAAACCCAAGTGTGGGCACATTTTATTCACTGTATCTGGTAAATAAATAGCTTCTCATCTCATATGAATCACAATGCATCTCTCCACAGTGGCACAGAGTATCAACAGGGATATTAGCTACAAAAACTGACGGTGTGGATTTGTGAGGGTCCATCTGCATTTTTGCAAAGGGGGCTCATGTGGAAAAACTGCGAGGACAAACTTTGCTAAAAAAAAAAAAAAACACAGGAAAGTCGTTGTTGTTGTTCAAGGTGACTCTACGTAGAAAACGCATGACATAAACGACACAAACTTCTGCATGAACAGTTGTGTTTTTCATCCTTGGTCGCACATTTATCACAGTGTTCGTTTTCAAAGCTAAGGGATCAAAGATGTCAGGTGTGAAAAGACAAAAGCTGAGCATGAAAAGGTTACCTCTGACATGTCATGCATAAATGATAAGGAGGGTAACGGATGGCTGCAATAAACATGTCGACTAAATGGCTTGCTTCCTAATTTATAGCCTTATTCATTAGTCGGCTGTGATCATTAGTAAAACCGTAATAAACTTCTCTCGATTGTAGCGCTCACAAAGGTCAGTCAGGATTGTCGTGTTAGAAAAAATTACACAAATTTACAAAGAGCCTCCCTGAAAAAATATTACAAGTCGATTCCAAAAAGATGTCCCTGCTGGCCTCACACAAAAAAAGAAGATACAAGAGAGACTAAGAGAGGAATCCTGCATGGTGCTGTGGTCCGAATACGACCCTGGTGTCAGAGATCTCAGCGTCAGCGTCGTCCTCGCTCGTCATTGTGCTATGTTGGTCTGTGCATCATCAGCCCTCTTTGTAAACACACAGTTTCACTAACTGCTACAGTCAAAGCCGCGACCGAGCCATCTGCTCCGAATACAAAATCACCTCCCACTGAACCGGCTCTTCTCTTTCTTTCTTTCCTTTTTCCTCCCCGTGTTCGGAGAAGTTTCTGGTAAACACTTCACTTTACATGTTTTTAGGAGGGAGGGGGCCTGAGAGGGGTACCAGTGAGGGGGCAGAGACAGGAATGTGTTGCAGAATCTCGTCTTTAAAAGGGTTTCACCGTCACACCAGAGAGGTTATAAATGTAAACGTGTTGTTGTTGCTGTCGCTAACAAAGTTAATTTGGCACTGCTCCAGTCTGGCGATATCCCCGATGTCCAGCTCGGATAATAACTGAGTGGGGTCTGTGTTTGTGGTAAAAACCTTCTGCTTCTCCATCTGCTGCACTTGTTTCTCTTTCTCTTGTTTCTCATCCTCCTCCTCCTCATCCTCTTCCTCTTCCTCTGTGATGGAGCAGAGGCGGGTGGCGCTCCCGGGGTTCTCCGCAGGCGGTCTGTAGTGGCACTGTCCGTTCAGCAGCCTCCTCAGGGGCATGAGGGGCACCGCCTCCTCCCCCAGCAGCTGCTGCTGGCAGTGCCGGAAATCACTCTGACGCTTCAGGCGCTTGAACTCGCTGAAAGCGGAGGTGGCGTTCTGGTAGAGGCTCAGAGCGATGGCCTGGGCCTTCTCGGACTTGCTGACCAGGACGGCGTGACACCGGAGCACCACGGCCATGTTCTTGACCTGGTGCCTGTAGATCCACGCCAGGATCTTGGGTCGGTATGGGTCAGCTGCACAGTATGTGATCCTGTTCAGTGAGTAGAGATGGATCGGTTTCTTCTTTCCAGATTTATCAGTACTCATGCGGATCCCTTGTGGCCCCACCATTAACCTCATCTTGACACTCTGCTCCCCATAGTTGCTCCTCGCCCAGATCTTGGCCACCGCTTCCTGCGTGCAGCCGTCTCCCTTCGCCGTGATGGTCACCACGCTCCCCAGGTAACGCACGTTGTAAACAGGTTCCTCTTTGTTCAGTTCCACCTTCTGTCGTTTGGAGTGGAAGATGTTGCCCACCCAGTCGAAGGGGCAGTCAGGCAGCAGGTCAGGGCAGGAGCGCAGCAGCGAGGAGAGGATGGACTGGTAGGTCAGCCCCGACCCCAGGCTCTTGGGTTTACTCTTGGCTTCATCCTCCACCAGGACAAACTTATTCCTTTTCCAGGGCAGCATGGCGTCTGAAAAGTAGGAGCGAATCAGCCCCTCTGCTGCTGCTGCCTTCGATCTTCTCAGCTCAAGAATCAAAAGTGCAAAAAACCAGCAAGTGTGAGAGTCAAATCAGAGAGGAGCTGCTTCCTCGGAGCTCAGAGTACAGAATGAGAGCTGTGAGCCTCAGCCAGTCTGTTCCCCCGCTCACTCGCTCCTCCTCCCCTCCTCCTCCTCCTCCTCCTCCTCTTCTGTTGTCTGCATCATGCAGCGCTGATCAGCACAGGAGCTCAGCGCTCAGGCACCCTCTCCCCCCCTCCCTGCTCTGTTGTTTTGCTTCCAAATGGCTCGCTACCAAAGCATTATTTATCCGTCCAGCTCTGCACATAGGTATCACCGTGTTTTTGTTTGCTTGTAAACCTGAAGAAGAGGGTACACCGTGTAGTCGCTCCTCCTCAGGGGAGTTATGTAACTTGTTAATTCTCGCATAAAAGTCAGTCAAGTCAGTCGTACGGAGTAATTAGGTGGGATGTTTATATGAGAATGTCAACAAATAATCCTCGCTTGAGTTAAAATCGGCGGCTTTAATCTGAAGCAAGACACGAAAACATGAAATTAATCAGGAATGAAACAATAAGACTTTTAGTTTTGGACAGACGTTTGTTTTTGTAAATGATTAGGGTTAGGGTTAAGGTGAAGGTTGGGGTAAGTATTGGGTTACAGTTAGAGTTAGGGTAAGGGTCAAGTTTAGAGTAAGGGTTAAAGTTAGGTTTAGGGTTAAGGTTAAGATAACATTTAGGTTAAGGGTTAGGCTTAAGTTTAGGGTTAAGGTCAATTTTGAGGTTAGGGTTAAGTTAAGGGTTAGGTTGAGGGTTAAGGTTAAGTTAGGGTTAGAGTTAGGGTTCAGGTTAGGGTCAAGGTTAAGTTTAGGGTTCGGGAAAGGGTTAAGGTAAGGTTTAGGGTTGGGGTAAGGGTTAAAATCAAGTTTTGGGTAAGGATTAAGTTAAGGGTTAGGGTAAGGGTTAAGGTTAGGGTTAGGTTTAGGGTGAGGGTTAAGGTTAGTGTAAGGGCTAGGGTTGGGTTTAGGGTTAAGGTCAAGTTTGGGGTTAGGGTTAAGTTTAGGGTAAGGATTAAGGTTAAGGATAGGGTTAGGGTCAAGGTTAAGTTTAGGGTTAGGGTCAAGGTTAAGGATAGGGTTAGGGTCAAGGTTAAGTTTAGGGTTAGGGTTACGGTTAAGTTTAGGGATAGGGTTAAGTTTAGGGTAAGGGTTAAGGTCAAAGTTAAGGTTAGGGCTAGGTTTAGGGTTAGGGTAAAGGTTAAGTCTAGGGCTAGGGTCGGGGTAAGGATCAGTCTCTTTGAAATAAACTATATAAGCAAGTACGTAAAAATAGTTTTAAATCGAAAGTAACTGATTCCATAAGAAGTTGGGTTGCTGTAAAAAAAAGTTTCAATAAATCAGTATTTGGTGGTTTGAAGAACATTTAAGGTCCATATTTAGGCCAACATCTTAACTGGTTTTGGGCCTCAAGAATTTAATGGTGTTTCTGGATCATCTGAACATGGTTCGGTTCTAACCTTCACTTGTGAATGCAGTGACAACCTCTGTTCAGAGTTGATTTTGAGTCCATGCAGTAACTTCCACTGCAGAGTCATGTCTGTTTTAATGATACAGTGCTGCCTGAGCACACAACATTTTATTTCTTAGCAATTCTGGGACAGTACGCTGAAATTGTTGAACCATTTGCTCTCGCAGTCTTGCACAAACGTCAACCCATCATTACCTTTTTTGTGCTGAGTCATGCTATTTTTAAACTAATCTTTCCTACAGATTCATCATTTGTTCTCTCTTTGCATTATATTTAATTGAATATAACCTTTGAGTGATTCGCAAACCATAAAATTCAGTTTGTGTCAACATTTTTACACGGTGTCTCGATGAGTGGAATTGAGGAGTAGTAGTTCGGATTATTACGGGAGTGTTATTCTTTAATAATTCATAACAAACTCAAAGGAAGAGGATGTTTCTGGAATTAAAAATAGTTTCTCGGTGCTTGCATTCGAATACTCTCAGGCATAATGATAAATAATGTATTTATAATAAGGAGTCTGGGTATATATTTGCAACCCACACCCTTCACAGTACATATAACTCCAGGCAGCATAACTTAGTTGTTCCTGGAATGAAGCCACAGACACAAACTCTCAACTCTGCCTTCTTCGTTATAATAAAAATCTGATTATTTCTATTTGAAGTGGCATTAAAGGCGGCGTAAAAGAGGTACATAGGTCTGGTCATGGATTATTTGTTGTTTTTATGCCGTCCACTAAAGAGTTCGCTTAAGACGAAAAACCTTGTCAACTTTTACCTTAAATCCACTCTGCTCTTTTAGACGGGGTGATTCATCTCATGCATCTCTGACTCGACATTTTGAGCTGCACGACTGCTTGATTTTTGACGACGTGTTGAATTTCAGCTCCGTCGCCCATCAATGAGTCGATCAGCGGCTCTTGACTGGTTGGATGAATTTCTGACGTGTTAGAAATGATGGTTGACCGGAGGTGAACCCTCAGATTCCCCCGTTTTGTCTGTCTACACGAATAAATACAAACTTGGTCTTACTTGGTCTGGCCTTATCTCCAGGCTAATTAAAACCCTCTTAGACTATTTCACCAAATTGAATAAACAACAATGAGCGTTTAATCTGCTCCCAGAGCTCCACTTAAAGACGACAGTATATGCACTGAAAACCATTGATACAGCACAAAAACAAAAATACGTTCAGGTGGATATTTTGCAGGAACATTTTTGCAGCTCCAGTCTTTGAAAACATTTTGTCATTTGGCTCTTAAAAACTCCAAACTGAATCCGATTCCCTCTTTTCAGCACAAGCAGCTGCAGATTAGCAAACTAAATATTAATATTTCTGGGATTTGATGCCAGTTAGCGAACATATTTGAACACCTGTCCCGTATAAATACTGTGTTCAAACATCTGTGTGACCAGCTGACTCTGTATCACAAACACAGAATGAGGGCAGCTGCTCTCGATGTGGAGGATCCTGCTGCTGCTGCTGCAATGAATCAGTCCAAGTGAAATCTGCGTCTCCTTCAAAAGCAGCGAGGACTGCTCTGTCATGTCTGAAGGGTGAGTTACTGTGGCAACAATGAAAAGATGTCTCCTTTTCTCCCACAGTGTCGGTTATGAATTAAATAAAACCACATATTGAATAATAAATCGCCGAAGAGGCTCTATCTCATGTGTTGAAGGGATTTATTATTTAAAAAGCGAGAGCAAATTTTGGATCTTTCGATACTCCTTATACTCTGTGATACAGGATACAAACTGAAAAGAGCTTCTTTGCGAACCTCACACATCGCCACAGGGTATTCAGCTCGAGTTGAGTCTGTTCTGAAATGTTAAAAACAGATTTAATGTTTCGGGAATTTTCTGGGCGGTCTCCTCCTCCCTGTTAAGATGATTAACAGACTTTCGCTCCGAGGCTCGTTGCATGTTTAGTGAACTGAAATCGGGACTATGATCTGATCATGGTGTCTTATTGTTGCTTCTAAATACAGTGAGGTTTAACAGCCCTGTGATAATGGCTCCATAAATCACCCGTGTGATTTGAGATTGCTCATATCTTACCTGAAACGCTGAATTGAAAAAGTCCATTACAGTTTGGCCTTTACAGAAAAAGATCCTTTTTTTTTCATCATCGACTTATCCGCCACCTCAATTTGCTTTGAGATTGTTCAATAACAGAATTAATGTCTCTGTATCTTTGAAAAACACCTTTTTCCCATGAGAAATGCCATAACTGTTGTTTAAAACATCATAATATTACATCTGGTGTGCATTAAATTTAAGCTACAAACCTGTGAACTGTGAGGAAAAAGGAAAATAAAGTTATAAGATAGTTTCCTCTCGGAGAGCTTGCTGCATTTTAATAAATCTGTCAAGGTGAAAGTGAAGTGTTTATGAAGTGAAAACCTATTTTTTATGTATCCACTTAAACTAGCTGTAACATCATCCACACATAAAGTTGTTTAATCGATTTCTTCTGCATGATAAAAATGCTCGTACATATTATGAAGCATGCTTATTATAAAGTCCAATTATGTGAAGTATATCGGGCTTGTGTTCATTAGTCTTTTCCAGTGGAAGTAATGTAATTTTAAAACACTTCTCCTCCGTGAAATCATCAGTTCACGGAGCCGTGCTGACGCCGCTCTGAGGCCGCTCTAGCAGCGATGCTTTGAGCTGAATGCTAAAGGCGGTACACGCTAAAAACGCTCATCATTACTTCAAACATGCTGATGTTTGGTAATTATCATGTTTACCATGTTCAGCTGTTTCATCTTGGATTATAGCCGACCAACATAAAAAGAACATTATTGTGAGAGAGCATGAATAAAACTGGGAGCATCATTAGATCTGTAGGCAATAATGAGCGAGTACTGAAAACATAACCTGTAAAATTAGATTGATCAAGAGAGTAATTAACAAATACGACATATTTTTAACTCGTTTTTCACTCACAATTTTGCTCAAGTTCACTAAAAACCACCAGAAGTCATTTGAGAACATCATACAGGGATCCTGAATGCCTGTATAAAATTTTGCGACAACTCCAGCTTGACATGTCACTGGAAGTACAACAGGGTATTATCCTCTGGGAACCATGAATCAAATTCAGGACAGTTAGCTATGGAGAAATCTCAACATAGAGCAAATAATGTTGACCTAAAGATGGTGCCGGACCATCTACATAACAAAGCAGGGGAATCAAAAGGCCTCATCCTCAGGGGATCATGAATGCCCATAACAAATTTGGTGAAAAATATATCTGACATGTTAACAAAGTTCTTCAAAATCTCATTATAGAACATGAGGAAAGTCGAGAGTTTAGTGAAATCATAAGGATGCGTCCAAAGACTTTTAAACAGTTCAGTTAAAACCAATAGTTGTTGAGAGGTTTTGATCTGAACTGCAAACAGGTTCAACCAAAGTCAGTGCAGCACATCATCTTGGGACCATGAATTTCTGTGTTAAATGTTAATCTCTCACGCTAAAATTTAGATATAGTAAAAAATATGACTTGCTAACTTGACTGGAGGTTCAGGGGCTGGAAAAGTCCAAACTAGTCATTCTCTTGGCACCATGAATATGCTGTGCCAGAGGAGGATTGAAGGTCAATGGCGACTACCTGTGGCAAATTTCATTGAGAAGTCAAGAGTTTCACCAAAGACATTCTGATGCATCATGAATTTCTGTGCTAAAGTTTGTGCCAATGTATTAGGTGTAATTCAGTGTATTTTACTAGCTAATGGAAAACTAAACGTTGCATCAGTGGGAAGATAGTCAACTGTAAAGGTTACGATAATTCAACCTTTAGCCACTATGGTTTGCTCTTTGGGTGATCCTTCGAAGACAATTAACGCTTGGACCAAACTCCTTGGGAAACCATTCAATGTTGATCCAGTCTGCTTTAATGCAATGGCCACATATACATCTGACAAACTATGGTATGTCATGTGGCTTAAATCTGTGTGTTCGTCCTCTAAGAACCAGAAAACCTCCTTTACCCAGTGTCTTTGTAAGACATCTTCTGTTAAGCTGCCTTTGGTTTCCATTTATCACAAACCCGTCTCCATCTCTGCACTCTTGGCTCCAGAGTCCCCCTCGGTTCCTGTAACTCCTCTTTTGCTCTCCTGCTGTTGAAAACATCCATTAAGAACTCACAATGGCAGCTCAGCTGCTGAATGTTATCACTACAATCCAATTACTTCCAGCAGAGTGACACCCCTCCCTAACCTCCCAAAATCTTCCTTCTTTCGCTCACTTTCTTTTCACTGCTCTCGAAGACATCCTTTTATCCCGGGCAGTGAGTACTACATATTTCTGTCTAGCAAGGCAACCTAATTGAATTGGGCTCTCTCTTCATCACGCTACACTTACCGAGCACGGTGTAATCAATGAGAGGAGCCTTGCAGAGAAGGTCCCAGCTCCGAGATGGTTGATTTATGGCTCGACGTGCAGGAGGCAGTGAGTAGGCCCAGCAAACAGAAAAAAAAAAAAAAAGGGCGGGGGCGAATGATGACAGAAGAGGCTACCATGCTCCTAAATATATCAGACTGTTGCCAAAGATAACACACATACACAACAAAGATATAAATCTGGAAAAATAAAATAAAATAAGATAAGGGAACACCACAAACATTTGAGCTGAAGTCATTTCTCCTTTGTCTTCGAAAAAAAACTCTGGAGGTCTCTGGAGATGGAAATCAATAACATCATGTTCCCCTGCTATAGATTCCCAAGGCTCCCAGGCTTGGCTGAATTCATAATGCAGTCAAAGTGAATCATAGTTTAATGAACAAGGAAAGTGCAGGGCATTAGATACAGGAGACTCATTCCCTCCTTTAATCAGCCGAACGATACAGTCCACAGGGGACCAGCAGGTCAACGTGCCCTCATTTACCGCTCTAATACCGCAACGGCAGAGTGCTGCCCTACAGTAGCTGATTATTAGTTTACATGTAAGGTCGATGCAAATTTGACAAGAGGGCCAATCAGTGTGTTAATTTCAGTTTCAGCTAATGAGTACATCTACGCCGCAGCCGTTTCACTCTTAATTAGATATCATGAGAGTAACCTGACAGTTCACTGTTGGCTACAACAAACGATCAAAATCTGCAAGAAAATCTGCCCGAACACCAAATTAGTGAGGTCAGAAAACAGCTAGCATGAGCATAAGCAATAAGCCAGTTTCTAACTTGTGATGCTCTTGGCACTTAAAAGCTAAATTACAGATTTGTAGTGCTTCACTTTGCAACAGAATAGCACAGAATTCCTAACTAATGTAATTATAACAAGGAATTTTCTTTAAGCTAATAAAACACTGGGTAGTGTTAGCGCGCCAACATAAGGCTGTGTATTGTATCATATGGTATCATGAGACATTGTGTCGCAACACATCGTACCGTAGCACATCGTACTGTACTGCAACATAACACAAAACATCATATCGCAACACATCTTGTCATAACGCAATGTATCATATCCCATTATATTGCAACACATTGTATTGTAACACAACATATTGTAAAATATTCTATCAAAATGCATCATATCAAAACGCATCTTATCATAACACAAAGTGTCGTAATGCAAATAATCGTAAAGCACTGTATCATATTGCAACACATCCTATTGTAACACAACATATCGCAACACATAGTACCGCAATACATATCGTAACATATGGTATTGCAACACATCGTATCGCAACACATTGTGCCGCAACACATCGTATCATAACACAAAGTTTCGTAACACATCATATCGTAGCACAACGTATCGTAGCACAACGTATCGTAACACATCATATTGTAACATATTGTATTGCAACGCATCGTATCATAACATGTTATATCGTATGACATCGTACCATATGACATCGTACTGTATGACATCGTATCTTAACACATAGTATTGTAACACATTGTATCGTTAAGCATCGTATCGTAACACAAAGTATCATAACTCATCATATCATATTGTAACACATCCTATCCCAACATACCGTATCATAACACAATGCATTGTAATACTTGCATCCCATTGCAACACATTGTATGATCTCTGATGTCGCCTCCCTTTTTGCATGTGTTTTACAAATATCGTCTTTTTTGCGGTTGCCTTTGCTGTAAATTTCTTGATCGTTTTTCTGTGGAGATGCTTTGTGTTCCTATGTGGCATTTCATTACAGAGTTGTACGACCAGCATCTGCCCTGACATGCATACTACAGCACTTTCAGTCATGTCGCATCAGTTTCTTACTGCTGTGATGTTTACACAGAACCTAAAGGAGAGACCTTTGTGTTTTTATTGTGTAATCAAGGCCTCAGACCAACAGTCGCTGAAGCTCTATTCAAACCGCCTGATCATGGCTGTAATGTCACACATTAGTTCTGCCTCGTTAGTATGTAAAAGGTACAAGCACAGACTGAGTAGGTGATGTTGTTCTACCTTCAGCCAAGCAGCCTTGTAGCAGATCTGAGCTGACATGTGTGAATGGGGGAGCTGGCAGGAACAGGGGGTGTGAAGTTTAGTCAGGACCCATCAGCAGTTTGCAGTCACGTAAAATGGGATCAGGGAGTCTAGATCGACTAAAAATGTCCTCACTTCGAGGACACAAAGAGCACAAGAGCTCCTTACCCCTCTGAGAAAGAACAAGATGAACCTTTAAAACAGCAATAAGGAACTTTATTTTAATATTCAAAACACTCTGAGAAGCTTTAAGGTTTTTGCCGTGTTTGGTGGCCCCTGTAGACAAACAGCTGATTAAAGATTCAAGATGTCTCTGTTGTTTTTCAAACCCAATGCCAGACAGGTACACCGTACAATGAAATACTACAGTGTCTGGCTCAGAACAAAATTACAAATCCTGTGTCTACATAAAGTTCACTCTCATAAATGTACATGTGCATGCCAAAAACAAGCAAACGGTGGTACCAGATGAAGAAGAAGTAGCAGACTGCCAGATATCTAGGACTTTGAAAAAAACAATATCTAAGAACGATATTAGTGCTTGTGTATCTTCAGGTTACTTATCAATTGAATATTTAAACTATCTGTCTCTATCTATTTAAACTTTCAATACACCAGAAGAAGTACCCTTCAAAATAAAAGCGTAGTTTTACAATGGAGGAAGTAGAGTACGCTAAATGCAAGATATCGAAACACACGACACGACAATCATCCTCTCCAAAGAAGTTTTGTTCACATGATAAATTATAAATATGAATATTATTAAAATGGATGATAGATGATAGATTAATGGATAGATATTGGTGCGTTCGTGTTACTTCGGAAGTCTGTGTCAGAGCTGAAAATGACGTCACACCGGAGTAACCATGGTTTCAGTTATCAAGTAGGATAAACGCAAAATCATCTACTGAAGTTATTTTAGCGCTTGCCTTGTTCGAATATAAGGCAAGCACTAAAATAACTTTCGTAGATGTAGCCATCTTGTTTCCGCCTCAGATTTTGCTTCTTTACGACTTGGTAACTGAAACGCTGGTAACTCGGGTGTGACGTCATTTTCAGCTCGGACTTCTGACTTCCAAGGTAACTTGAATGCAGCATTTGTTTGTAAAGTAATGTGTTTTCTCCCTTTTCGTGTTGCCTTTCCATATTTTGACCGATTGTGTTGTTTTATTTTGCATATTATTATTATCACCATATTCATAAGGGGAAAATCTGATATCATGGCTGTCCCTAATATTCAAAATTAGTGTTTCCAGATTTTAAAAAATCCATTCTGCTCAAATGTTTAACATGTCATAAACCGCACTTGTTTATCACGTCACCTCTTCTTCGTCTCTCTTGTTCCTTTCAGGTCATAAAGCGACATAAACAGTCATTTCAGTCAGCTTCATTCCCCTCAGGAGCTTTAAAAAAATACGTCCTCGCCTGACTCGTATAATGTGTGCACCTCTGGATACTGATGCTGCTCTGGTTTCCATCACTCCAACCAATCACTCCTGCTTCTGGGATGCTGTCATGCTGTGTAAATCACATTCTGATTGCAGTGTGCTCATGCCGTACAGTCTGCATAATGATAGGGTT